TATTGTGAACCTGTTAAATTGCATTTAACCAAGTAATCTGGACTCAGAAAGAGGTAATTGGTATAAAATGTAGAGCTCCATAGAAGAAAACATTAGAGTTCTCTAAATTGCTCAATTTGGTATATCAGAAAAGTTCAATTCAGGTGTGAAAGGTAGTTAGCACATTGTATATACAAGTACTTGGTGAACTACAGTTGTGTTGAAGGGCTCTTTAAGGCTAATAGACCCACTTAACACATACTACAGTAGTTGTATTAGACTTGCGAATATTCATTTTTAGAGTCGTTTGAAACTTTACAGACAACAAACCAAGAAATGCTGCACACAAACACATTGATATATGAAGAAATCTTTTTAAAACAAATTTTTCTTATTTGTCAAATTTCTCATTAGTCTTAATTAGTGTCTATATATCTACATATATTTCAGGTATTTTATCTAAAGATGAAGAAAGACAAGTCTTGTGTTCAAGGTTTTCTGGAATGACTTTGAAATCYGCTGGAAAACGTGACCCGRTTGATTTGAACAATGACCAGTGTAAGTGYCAGCCTTTGATAACTCAGGGACCACAGAGCGTGAATTTGTTTGGGGGGGCTAGCGGCGAGGAGGTACTAGGGGGGTTAATTGGAAATATTTTTGAAATCTTAACTCTCRGAAATGTCATTTCCAGTGTTTTGAGGCGTTATCACAGTCAGCGACATTATCAATAAATCCCAAAGACTTYAAAAAAGCTTCAATTTCAATTATTCAYGCTCAGTTTTTACACRTCAATTTTTATAGAATATATATGGTGAAATTTCATAAGGAGGCTCTTGGYTTCTTTATTTAAGAAAAWTCAAAATGTCRGAAAAATTRTTGGGGRGACTGTAGCCCACCAGCCCCCCYTGCTCCACGGYCCATGTAACTGTTTAATAAAACAACAGTAAATGAGTAGGAATGGCTTAAAAAAAGACATTCAAACTAATAATATCTCAAAAAGTAGATTGTCAATATTTTATGCTGAACATAATTTAACCCAATATTTTGCATTAATTAAAGTTGAATTTATTTGTTTTACAGTACCAAGACTTGGTTCTGTGCGGTCGACCAGGAAGTCACCATTGACCAAACTAAAGCCATCTCTACCAAAGGTACCTAGTTTTTCTGTTCTCAGTTGATCAACTTTCATCAATTTTTTAGGGCCCATGTATGCATTCTATCCATTGTTTCAATGAGTTTTATCTTACAAATAAATGTTTTTTTCGTATCTGTGCAGATACAAGCAAATGGTGAGGACAGAAAAGAGATTATCACCCCTCCATTGTCTAGAGAAAAGCTTACAATGTCAGCTCAAGGTAATACATTGAAATCTTTAATATTAGCCCTGTTCAAACAACAAGAATTTAATTGAATTTATTTACATTTGATGAACATTTCAAGAGTTATAATAAATGCCAATAAAATTTATTACACTTTTGGCAGCTAAATGAATAAATTTTTGTTATTGATAATCTCTTCAGGGAGAAAAGTTCTCAATAAAATCATGTCTGAAGCTGAAAAAGGCAATAGCAAGGTGAGGGAAGATTTTGCATCAAGTATGGTGGCTTCACACATAAGGAGAAGCACAAACAGAAGCTCATTTATAGCTGTTCATAATGAAAATGTTATGCATATGTTTTGCCCATTGCCACAGATAATTTTTTTAACACAATTGCAAGAAGAAACATAAGGAAGTGGAAAAAATTCATTTTCTATATATATTTTGCTTGTTTTCTCTAGGTTCACCCATAGAAATTTCATTTCTTCTGCTTGCTGCTTATGTTGTAGTGTTAGCCAACCCATCATTTTGAAAGATTGCACTTTGTAACTGCAGATTTAGCCTGTTTGTCAGGCTCACTCAAAGGGGATTGGGATGGAGTGACTCAGTCCCAATTCCCCTTGAGGAGAGAGACTGATACTCACGACAGGCTATTGCAGTTTGACATTCAATTATTGAAAATACTACTTTCATTAATTTTAGGCATCTAATTCAAGCATTGTGGAGGCTGTAGATAAGTGGTTAACAACAGCTACTGACAAGGGTAGGCATGGGGAATATTGCATACTTAATTCAATACAAGTTCTTTACTTCATGGACTGTTATCAACCATATTTGGTAGTGATTAAAGTGCAGAACTATTGTTTTGCAATATTGATAATATTGATAGTAATTATAAGTATTATAATTTAATAAATTCCATAGTTTAACCAGAGTTAGTAGTCTCCTCTACTAACTCTGGTTTAACAATGAAATCATTTGTTTCCAGAACGTGAGGTTGCCCTTAAATTTTTCTCCACATTGGCTGGAACAAAGACAGAGTTTATGAAGGCACCGTTGCAGAAATACCATACTCATACAGAAGGGAATTGTCATTACTGTGATGGTGATAGAATCAATGAAACTTTAGAGACTCTAGCCCAGTAAGTACAGTAGGTTGTTTTTACGTCTACAATCATACTCAATATACTAGTTTGAATATCATTTTGAATTTTGTGTTCTTTCCAGGAGAGACAAGMCACCTTTCMGAAGCAAGGCAGCAACCCATAAAAAAGAACCAAATCTTGCCAACCGTTCTTTTTACCAACACCCAAGACTTCCATCAAGAGTACGACGCTCCTACCAGACCTGGCATCATTTGCCTGTGTACAACTACAACCACGGGGTAGCAAATAAAAGCGCTATGTTTACCCAACCCCATAAATTCATTGGACGACATTTCAGTATTCATCCAGAATGGGGGCTTCACACAAGGGTTAAAAATTGTTGATTGTCTGAGTGTAAAATGCACTTTTGAAGCGGTTTGAATGTGTGAACTTAACACTGTTTGAACAACAAAAAATTAAGAAAAAAGTACACAGCAACCCTTTGATATACTGCGGTGATTTAAATTTGACCGTTCAATTATGAACAACTCTTTTTTATCGAATGACGAAAGTACATCATTTATGAGGTGATTCCTTACAGAAATATGTGATTTTTCACAGTAAAATGTCATATCTATAAGCTACCCCTAGAAAATGTATTCTAAGAGTTCCGTAGCTGAAAAATTAAATGATATTTATTCGATTTTAAAAAATGTGAAATGGTAATCTAGTAAGAAATGATCAAATAAAATAAGATGAATTTGTACGATAAGATTGAATTTTTTCTTCTATAGGGGAATAAAATGCTTGTTTTATAAATCAGTATTACAATTTTATTAATCTTATGTTTCTCATAAGTTCCTTAAATTGTTGACGMGCGCAAGATCATGTCATTCAAAAATTGTTGGTCGACTGTGTCAAAGGCACTCTAACTAGATACTGGGCTTTGTTTCTACGTTCTTAAKGKWWTTKKTT